GGTAGAGTTACAGAGAGAGACAGAGAGAGAGAGAGACAGAGAGAAAGGTCTTCCATCCACTGGTTCACTCCCCAAATGGCCTCAATGGCTGAAACTGAGCTAATCCAAAGCCAGGAGCCAGTAGTTTCTTCCGGGTCTCCCATGTGGCTGCAGAGGCCCAAGGGCTCGGGCCATCTTCTACTGCTTTTCCAGGCCACAGCAGAGAGCTGGATCGGAAGTGGAGCAGCCGGGACTCAAACCAGCACCCATATGGGATGCCAGCAGAGTAGTAGGCGGAGGCTTAGCCTACTACACCACAGTGCCAGCTGAGATAATATTTTTTATTTATGTTATAGTCAAAGGCTTAGTGTACCACTAAATACAGAGTTCAACAGATAACAAGTAAAAGGACTCTAGTCCTGTGGGAATATGGACAAGGGCCATAAACAATAATTACATGAGATGATGAACATTTCACTCATGTAAAGTAAATTTTAAAATCATAAAGTTTTTTTACCCGTATACAATAAATTTTCTTTTTTTTCATCTTTTGTTTAATAAATATAAATTTCCAAAGTACAACTTTTGGATTATAGCGGCTTTCCCCACCATAACCTCCCTCCCACCCACAATCATCCCATCTCCCACTCCCTCTCCCATCCCATTCTTCATTATTAAAACTATAGTAGTATATCATTCTTAGCCATTGGTTTGTCAAAGATATAAAACAAAGTTTGCCAAAACTACATTTGCAGCAATATTGACACACACAGGCATTTCTTTCTTTGTTTTTGTTTCTGGTTTTTTTTTTTTGATTTTTTTTCTTTATTACTTCCCACATATAATGGAGAACATGTGGTGCTTGGGTTTCTCTGCCTGGCTTATTTCATGCAATATGATGTCCTCCAAGTGCATTCATTTCAGTGCAAATGGTAGGATTTCATTCTTTTGTATACCTAATATTTCATTGTATATATCTATACACATTTTCTGTACCCATTCATCTTATGATAGACGCCTTGGTTGATTCCATGATTTGGCTATTGTGAACCATGCTTATTTTTTAAATAAACATGGTGGTGCAAGTGTTTATTTGATACAACATAAAAACCAACACATAGATCAACAGAACAGAATACACAGCCAGAAGTTAATCCACAGACATTCAACCAGCTTATTTTTGACAAAAGTGCACAAACCATATGTTGGAGAAAGGATATTCTCTTCAATAATGGTGCTGACAAAACTAGATATATGTATGTGAGAGAATGAAATTAGATTCATAGCCCTCACCATATACAAATGTCGACTCAAGGTAGATCAAAGACCTACATTTAAGAAAAGACTATAGACCGGCGCCACAGCTCACTTGGCTAATCCTCTGCCTGTGGTGCCGGCACTCCGGGTTCTAGTCCCGGTTGGGGCGCCGGTCCTGTCCCGGTTGCTCTTCTTCCAGTCCAGCTCTCTGCTGTGGCCCGGGAGTGCAGTGGAGGATGGCCCAAGTGTTTGGGCCCTGCACCCGCATGGGAGACCAGGAGGAAGCACCTGGCTCCTGGCTTTGGATTGGTGCAGTGCGCTGGCCGTAGCGGCCATTTGGTGAGTGAACCAATGGAAGGAAGACCTTTCTTTCTCTTTCTCTCACTGTCTAACTGTGCCTTCCAAAAAAAAAAAAAAAAAAAGAAACTGAGACTGTAAATTTCCTGAAATAAAATGTAGCAAAAACACTATAAGACGTTGGTGCAGGTGGTGACCTTTTAGGTAAGACCTCCAAAGGACAGGCAACAATAGTAAAGCTAGATGAATGGGATTATATCAAACTCAGAAGCTTCTGCACAGCAAAGGAAACAATAAATAGAGTGAAGAGACATCCAACAGAATGGGAACAAGCATTTGCAAGCTACCTGGCAAATGATTAATATCCAGACTATGTCAGCAACTCAAAAAATTCAACAACAAACAAAACAACCAGTCCTGTTAGGAAATGGGCAAAGGGCCTATAAACAGATAGTTCTCAAAAACAGAAATACAAAGGACCAACAAATATATGAAAAAATGCCCAGCATCACTAGCCAACAGAGAAATGAAATGAAAACTACAATGAGATATCACTTTAGCCCTGTCAGAATGGATATTATCCAAAAGACAGAGAGTAACAAATGTTGGACAGGATGTGGAAAAAGGGGAGCTCTTATACACTGTTGGTGGGAATGTAAATTAGTGCAGCTACTGGGGAAAACAGTATGGATATTTCTTTAAAACCTAAAAACAGATTTGCCAAATGATCTAGCAATCCCACAACTGGGTATATACCCCCAAACACGAACATGTTGTATCAAAGAAATACTTGCACCACCATGTTTATTTTATTTGAAACAGAGAAATGAGAGAGAGCCAGGTAGAGATTTATTTTGAAGGCAGAGACAGAGATCTTCAATTATTGTTTTACTTCCCAAATATGCACAAGGGCCAGTTCTGGGCCAGGTTGAAACCAGGAGCCAGGAACTTCTTATTTTTAAAAAAATATTTATGTATTTATTTGAAAGTCAGAAAGAGAGAGAGAGAGAGAGAGAGAGATGCTGCATCCACTGGTTCACTCCCCAGAAGGCCACAACAGCCAGGGTTTAGCCAGAAGCCAGGAGCCAGGAGCCAGAAGCCAGAAACTTCATCCAGGTCACCCATGTTGGTGGTAAGGGCCCAAACACTTGGGCCATATTCTGCTGCCTTTCCAATACCGTTAGCAGGGAGCCAGATCAAAAGTGGAGCAGCCAGGATATGAACCTGTGCCCATATGGGATGCTGGCATCACAGTTGGCAGCTTTACCCACTATGCAACAATGCAGGCCCAAGAGAGAACTTACAAATAATGAGGTAAACCAGAGATTTCCTTCTCTTTCGTCAAAAATAGATGTGCCTCGTGGAGAAGGTTCAGGAGCCTCACCATCAAGGTTTTATTATAGTATAGTGGCCTAGAAAAGCCTTGCTCTTAAAAAATCAGACAGCTGAGTCTGACCTTGAGCAAAGTACTTAATATTCCTAAAAGACATTAAAAAGGAAATCTCTTTCCATAAGTCTTATTTGTCATACGTCTGGGTTACTCATCTACTTTTTCTATATGTTTTTGCCTGCTTTCCATTCCATTTGTGTGTGTGTGTGTTTAAATGCTGCTCTCTAAGACATTTTATCAGCTCTATCTGCCAACCCATTTATTGAAGTTTTAATTCCTCTTGTCATATTTTTAATTCCCAGGAGTTCTTTTATTTTCTCAATAGTCTTTAAAATTTCTTCTTGTTTTATGGTTGCAATATCTCCTCCAATCTCTCTGAGGATGTCAGTGGTATATTTTCTTTTTAAAAGTTTTCTTCTGAGCTTCAGAGACCTTTCCCAAGAGAACACACCTCCAGTCTTCTGCTGGGGTCAGGAATGGTAGTTATTTGGCTCTGCAGAGTTGGGGAGGGAATCTGCAGGTCTCTCAGCTGCTTAAGCTGACTTTTCAAGCCATACTCCTGATTTCTGCCTTTTTATAGGGGTACACCGCATGGCAAATTCCTGAGCCTTTTTGGTGTTCTGTGGCATAAATTGAGTTGCCTCTCAGCTCTCTCTATTGATGACTTGGGAGGTAGATTTCTCTGTTCTACTAACCAGTTACTATTTGTCCATTTGCTCTCTGATTTCCAAAACTTTCTGCTAATGTCTTCTCTCCTGTATCTCTCAAGCTTGCAAAAATACTCCTTTAAAATTTCCTTACTGAAATTTCAGCAGTTTTGAGGAAGGAGCAGAGCTATATGTTGCGAGTTTAATCTACTATCTTTAACCAAAAGACTCTTAATTCTTTGTTTTTATTTCATTTCCATCAATTTACACTTTTACTATCACCCTGTATGCAAATCCTTACTACTTTATGTCTAGACTCCTTTTCTCTATCTTCTTCTCCCTTAGCTCTGTCCTTCATAGTGCTGTAAATTCATCTTCCTGAAACACTTCACTGGGAATCACAGCTTAGGCTGTAAAACCCTTCAGGTGCATTCTGATGTTGAGAGGATAAAGTCAGCATTCCTTAGCCTGATAGTGAAGGCCTTCCAAAATGAGCCTTTATTCACCTTTTTAAAAAAGATTTCTTTATTATTTGAAAGTCAGAGTTACACACAGAGAGAAGGAGAGGCGGGGGGTGGGGTGGGCCTTCCATTCACTGATTCACTCCCCAGTTGGCCACAATGGCTGGAGCTGCGCCTATCCGAAGCCAGGAGCCAGGAATTTCTTCCTGGTTTCCCATGTGGGTGCAGGGGCCCAAGGACTTGGGCTATCCTCCACTGATTTCCCAGGACATAGCAGAGAGCTGGGTCGGAAGTGGAGCAGCCGGGTCTTGAACCGGCACCCATATGGGATGCTGGCACTGCAGGTGGCAGCTTTACCCACTACGCCACAGCGCCAGCCCCTCTATTTACTTTTTTAACCTCATCTTTTAGGTACTCTGAAACATTCATATCTATAATCACACCATACCAACCTGTAGCTTTGGTAAACCTTGTCTGGATCAAGTAAGAGCAAAACAATTGGGCTTTCCTGGTGATGTATCTAGAGGACTTAGTGGTGAACTTGCTACATTTGAATGAATGATAGAAAATTTTTCATTTCAAGTGAATATCTGTCTGACATGAGGCATCTTATAGCATGTCAGTCTAAGATTCAAAAATCAGTTTTTCAAATATGTTGTTTCTTGTGTTCACTATACTAGATATTGAATTTTCCCATGGTATATTTCTCCACACCTTATTTATTTTCTGCTAGATTATGAAGATGCAAAGATGACGATGTAGAAATAATATCCTATAATAAAAGTCTATCTTGTTATATGGTACTGAATTTAAGCCCCAGAACACAGTGAGTTAATATTCCTCTAGGATTTAATCTTGTAATTTATTATATCCTTGTGACCAAAAGAATGCTCTGACACTCATATCAAGTATATTTATAATGTTACCCTGAAGGTATATTGTTTTCTAATGATTTTTTTCTTCTCTCAGGTTTGTCTTTATTGACCTCTTCTTTATGAATATGATTATTTGGACTGAAGGGTCATCAGCTACTATCTCCTTTAGTGGGTTCATTGCCATACTTGTACTGTGGCTTAGCATATCGGTACCACTCACCCTTTTGGGAGAATACTATGGGAGTCAAGAAACGGTAAGCTTTTTTTTCTTAAGATATATTTATTTATTTGAAAGTCAGAGTTACATAGAGAGGAGAGGCAGAGAGAGAGAGAGGTCTTCCATCTGATGGTTCACTCCTCAATTGGCCACAATGGCCGGAGATGTGCTGATCTGAAGCCAGGAGCCAGGGGCTTCCTTCGGGTCTCCCACATGGGTGCGGGGGCCCAAGGACTTGGGCCATCTTCTACTGCTTTCCCAGGCCATAGCAGAGAGCTGGATCGGAAATGGAGTAGCTGGGACTTGAACCAGCGCCCATATGGGACGTTGGTGCTTCAGGCCAGGGCGTTAACCTGCTGCATCACAGCACCGTCCCCAGTAAACTTTTAAAATACTGTTCCTGACCATTGAGTGATGCCTGAAACAAAACTTCACTGTGCATATCCTACACATAGAATACAAAAAGCACCACTAGAGAAAACTACAGAGAATAATTATTTTGGAATAAAAGATATTACAAAGTTAATAAGAAACAGTAACACTTTGAAAGACAATCTTTAATGTATTTTCCACGTTTTCAACAATTTCATGGACATTTATTTTATGCAAAAAAAACCTCAAAACTCTGCATGGATTTCAAAATTTTTTGCACCAAAATCAGCTTATTTCTAAATTCCATTTTGCCATGAACTTTTTGGAATACCATCATAGATTGTTTATGTTTCCTTTTATCTCTGATGGATAGAACTTAAAGAATATGTTGTAGGAGCACTGACAGCAGCCAACTCAGAAAAGTAATAGTTATATTGGGGGAAGAAAGTTAAGATATATCCAAGAAGTTAGGCATTCAGTTTACAGATTTGAAGTTTAGCTAATTCACAAGTAGGAGAAAGGATGTAAACAACTAAATAAGGTCACACTGCAAAAGAATTGTATAAAATTATAGCATGAGATTGCAGAGGAGAAATCAGAAAAAAAAAGACTAAAAGGGAGATGGAGTTCCACAGGGAGCAGAAAATAGAGAAATTTCTGAAAACTTTTGACAAATTCTGAGAGACAGATTCTTAGAAATTTTTGACATTACAGATTATTTCATGTTGAAATACCCCTAAATCTTGTCCAATCTCTCTTCTGGAATTTATAAAGAGGGATAAACATTCTTACTGTTCTGTGTTGGGACCAGCATTTGTGATGCATGTGTGCCTCCTACTGTGGTGGCTGTTAGCCACATGTGGTTATTAGGCTCCCCAAATGTGGCTAGTCTGAAATAAGACTTGCTGTAACTGTTCAATACAGACTGGCGTTTGAACACTCAAAACAGTAACAATGAAATAATGTAAAATATCTTATCAATAGTTTTTATATTTACTATAAGTTTAAATGACAGTATTTGGATATGTTAAGTCAAATAACGGCTGGTGCCGAGGCTCACTAGGCTAATCCTCTGCCTGTGGCGCCGGCACCCCAGGTTCTAGTCCTGGTTGGGGTGCCGGATTCTGTCCCTGGTTGCTCCTCTTCCAGTCCAGCTCTCTGCTGTGGCCCGGGAAGGCAGTGGAGGATGGCTCAAGTCCTTGGGCCCTGTACCCTCATGGGAGACCAGGAGGAAGCACCTGGCTCCTGGCTTCAGATCAGCGCAGCGCGCTGGCCGTAGCGGCCATCTGCGAGGTGAACCAACGGAAGGAAGACCTTTCTCTCTGTCTCTCTGTCTCTCTGTCTCTCTGTCTCTGTCTCTTTCACTGTCTATAACTCTCTCTCTGTCTCTCTCTCTCAATGTCTAACTCTGCCTGTCAAAAAAAAAGTCAAATAAAATAAGTTATTGGCAGATTTTATCAATTTATTTTTACTTTTCAAATGTGGTTCCTAAAAGTATTTTTAAGTACCTATGTGGCTTGCATTACATTTCTATTGCATGAGGCTTGTCTGTCTTTTTCCCATATGACATTTCATGTTCTGTTCAGATTCAGCGTTCTATATTGTGATTACATCTGTATTTTATTTCATTCTGATTTTCATCTCATTTCCTTTCGAGCAGTTTACATGCCCAGTGCACATAAACCCATTGCGTCGTGCGATCCCTCAGCAGAAGATTTTTACAAAACCACTTATTAACATCGTAGTTGGTGCTATTTTACCATTTGGATGCATTTTTACTCAACTCTTTTACATTCTAAACAGTATTTGGTGAGTATTGTAGCTTCATAATCTTAGCAGTTTTATTTTTAAAAAGTTTTTCTGTGGCATATAAGAATTGTACATCTTTATAGGGCCTAGTGAGATAACTGATACTTGTATGCTGTATTTAGCAATGATCATTTCAGGGAGGTTGGATATTGGATACTTAATACAGCTATATAGGCAGAATAAGTGTTAGTGTCCTACAGCACAGTCGGGTGACTGTAGTTTACAACAATTTCTTATATAATTTATAAGGAACTGGAAGAGAGAAGTTCAAAAGTTTCTTTTTTTTCCTAACTTAATTTTCCTGTATTTCAAGGAGGTTTAATTCTGATATAATAATACTTTATTTATCCCCCACCTTATCCCGGAAATAGCATCTGAATTGCTACCTGAACTTCCTGGGGAACTGATACTTAATTCACAAGTTTTTGACGGAAATGTCTACAAAATTTCCTTTTAAAAAATGAGCCCCTCTTCCAGGCCAGCTCTCTGCTGTGGCCAGGGAGTGCAGTGGAGGATGGCCCAAGTACTTGGGCCCTACACTCCATGGGAGACCAGGAGAAGTACCTGGCTCCTGCCATCGGATCAGTGCGGTGCGCTGGCCGCAGCGGCCATTGGAGGGTGAACCAACGGCAAAGGAAGACCTTTCTCTCTGTCTCTCTCTCTCACTGTCCACTCTGCATGTCAAAAAAAGAAAAAAATGAGCAACCTCTTGTTAAGCCTTTCTGTATGACTTAGAGAAGGTGGTCTCAAGCTGAGGCTTTTTGGTGGTGGGGGATCACTTGGAGGGAGGTCCCTACAGATGGGAAGGGACAGTTCTGATTTTTTCTGTTTTCCATACTGGCCTCCCATGTGAGATTTCATTTAGAATTCATCTGCTAAAAACCATTTGAAGGCCACTGACTTTGGGTCTTCATGCGTCCTGAGCTGTAAGTACGGGTTTTCTGTCTTCTTCCTTCCTGTCAAATATTCTGGTGGCAGGATGCATACTCCTTTTTACTTGGTATTTTAAATCTGTTGTGGTTTAAGAATTCTTTTATTTTTTTGACAGGCAGAGTTAGACAATGACACACACACACACACACACACAGAGAGAGAGAGAGAGAGAGAGAGAGAGAGAGAGACAGAGAGAAAGGTCTTTCTTCCGTTGGTTCATCCCCCAAATGGCCGCTACGGCCAGCCACGCTGGGCCGATCTGAAGCCAGGAGCTGGGTGCTTCCTCCTGGTCTCCCATGTGGGTGCAGGGCCCAAGGACTTGGGCCATCCTTCACTGCCCTCCTGGGCCACAGCAGAGAGCTGGCCTGGAAGAGGAGCAACCAGGGACAGAACCTGGCGCCCCAACCAGGACTAGAACCTGGGGTACCGGCGCTGCAGGCAGAGGATTAGCCAAGTGAGCCACGGCGCTGGCCATGGTTTAAGAATTCTAACAACAATGTATGTAAATTAACAACTAGTGCTTTCTGATGAAAGTGTCTTAGTGTCCTAGCTTTGTGACAGCTATTTCAGTTGCTCTGCATCTTTTTTTTTTCTTCTACTTGCTGATTCTTGACTACATTCTGGTTTCAGAAACTGGCCAATCAGGGTGCTACTGTGGAAGGATTTTTGGAGATGGGTAAAGGCACCATAGTGTAAAACCCAGTACCCAACTATATGTTTTTGTTATACATTTTTTTCAAACAATCTTACTGACAAAACTTGCAAGTTCTCAAAAAATAGGCTTAACAATGCATGTTAATTACTCACCTTTGAAAAATGTATTATGACAAATTTGTTTGAAAGATAAATAATAAAATCTGTTACCTTGTCAGCAACTAAATATTTAGCATACTGCAAAATAGATTATGGTAGCCATATTTTCCAGATGTTTTTAATGGAAAAGTAATTTTGAAGTGAAAACTAAAAGGTTCTTTAGATGAACTAATTTTAGTTTCAATGAAAAGCAGAGTGCTTGTGTACATCTTTGTATATATTTATTATTTAGAGATTATTCTTGCCAACCCCTGTATTACGTGAGCTTTTAAAATAGAGAACTGATTGGTTCATCAGTTTCTTATCTGCAAAAGACTTTCACACTTGTTCTTATCCAAAAGTCTGAGTCATCCGGAAGCCTTTTTAAGAAGATTTATTTATTTGGGGCCGGTGCTATGGCACAGCATGTTGGGCCATATCCTGCACCACTGGCATCCCATATGGGTGCCTGTTGAAGTCCCGGCTGCTCCCTTCTAACCCAACCCTCCCCTCTAATCCAGCTCCCCTCTAACCCAGCTCACCTTCTAACCCAGCTAATATGTCTTTGAAAGCAGCAGCAGATGGCCCAAGTCCTTGGGCCCCTGGACCCATGTGGGAGACTTGGAAGAAGCTCCTGGCCCCTGGCTCCTGGCTCCTGGCTTCGGCCTGGCATAGCCCCAGTCTTGAGCCCATTAGGGGAGTGAACCACCGGATGGAATATCTCTCCATGTTTCCTTCTCCCAGTCTGTAACTCTGCCTTTCAAATATATTTATTAGAAACAATAAAATTTTATTTATTTGAAAGAGAGAGAGAGAGAGAGAAAGAGAGGGAGAATTTTGTATTTGCTCGTTCACTCTCCAAATGGCTGCAATGGCTAGGGCTGGGCCTGGTGGAAGTCAGGAGCCAGGAGCCAGGAGCCAGGAGCCAGGAGCTTCTCCCACATGGATGGCAGGGACCCAAGCACTTGGATCATCTGCTGCTGGTTTCCTAGGTGCATTAGCAGGAAGCTGTATTGGAAATGGAGCAGCTGGGACTTGAACCGGTGGCCACTGCACCACAACACTGTACCCATCTCGCCTAGAAGACTGTTTAAAATATGTTGCTTTTTTTGGGGGTCAGCACTGTGGCATACTGGGTTAAGCCACTTCCTGGGGAGCCAGCATCCCTTATGGGCACCAGTTCGAGTCCTGGCTGCTCGACTTCCAAGCCAGCTACCTGCTAATGGCCTCAGAAAGCAGTGGAAGATGGCCCAAGTCCTTGAGTCCCTGCACCCACACCGGAGACCTAGAGGAAGCTCCTGGCTCCTGACTCCTGGCTTCAGCCTGGCCAAGCTCTGGCCATTGCAACCATTTGGGAAGTGAATCAGCAGATGGAAGATCTTTCTCTCTGTCTCTCTTTTTCTCCCTGTAATTCTGCCTTTCAAATAAATAAATAAATCTTAAAAAAAGTGTTGCTCATCCCAGTTTAGCCTAGCTCTATAATGAAGAAAAAGTGTGACCTAAAGGTAATCCACACACAGTTTTAAAGATGTGTGTTTCAAAGGATATTTATAGAATCATGTGTACTACCCTGTAGAGATGTATTTGGAGAAGCTGAATGTCAGGTTTTCAAAGGCAAATTGGTATTCATCCTGTGATTTTCTGTTGTATAATATAGTTGCTGGTATTTATAGCATTTACAACCTTCCATTTCTAAAGGGAAAGCATGTTTTTTTTTTTAACTTTTATTTAATGAATAAAAATTTCCAAAGTACAGCTTATGGATTACAA